GAAGAGGGCAGACTGGCAGACAGAGAGTCGTCACTGAGCTCACTCTGTGGCAGGTATGCTATTGAAAGGAGACTATGCTATTGATAGGAGACTATTTCATGTAGCTCTACCTAAGGCCTGCCCACATAGGCATGACTATCCCCATTTTCCAAGGAGTAAATGGAGGTTCAAAGTAGTGAGATGATTTGCCCAGGGTCTCACTGTCAGCACAAAGCAGAGCCTAGATGTGAATCCAAAACTTCTAGCAATACATCCCACACTGCGTTCTGCTCTACTCTACTGCCTCTGATAGACACCCAGTTTTTCAGGGCTTCTTAAGACTGGGTCAATATAGAGTAAAGAGTCAGAGGGATAGAAACTTCTTTCTTGTTTTGGAAATCACTTTCCAACGAACACAGGTATACCCTACAAAGAGAGAAACTTATATTTAGACACATTATTACAAATTTGAGCTGTAGAGAACCCATTTGTTACCTGAGGGCTGAGGTTTCCTCCATCTCCTATTATGCCATTTCCTGTGCAGTGGGACATTTACACACGCGGTGCTAGCTCACTGCTGTCCTTTGAACCACTGCCTCTGCTGAATGCCAACCCCTTGGGCAGTCACTTGGTCCTTTCTCAAGACAGCAAGTGGCCCCCAATGCTAGGAGATAAGATTCCGCATCCAAGATGCATCACATGGTAGAAGGAGTGAGGACAGGAGCCAACAGGTGGGACACCTGCCCGTTGGTAGGCACCGTGCCAGCAGACTTATATATACTGACTATTCAGTACTTACAACAACCTTAGCTGGTAGATGTCACCCTATTTACAGGGACAAAGCCTTGCCCTAAGGGAGTTACATGAGTCACTCGGCCAAAGTTCCACCAGCCATAGACAAGTATGGACCTTGGGTGGCCCTTTGGAGAGTTGACAGATACATGGGAAGTTTTCAGTCTTGTGTTTTCTGTTAAGTTGCCACTTTGTTTTGCTTCAGGTACTATAGAAATGTAAGAAAATGTATTACATTTATTTAAAATTATTCTTGTGTTATTAACACCGACAGTCATCCTTTTTAAAGGCTTCTTTGTAGCTTGTTATAAGCTGCACATTTAGGGTACAACTAGTGGATGTCTTGGGGCCGCTTCAGGGATGGCATGAGTCATCCCCACGGCAAAAGCCCCTCCAGATGTCATGTAAGGAGCAAATGATGCCTCACTATGACCAACGGACCTCAGCTGGACCCTGGATGCTACTGGGAAGCCCACTATTTTCTCTAATCAACTTGCCTCCTGCTCTCTGTGTAATGAGAACCTCAAACACCTGTGCTCTTCCAGCCTCTAAGTTCCTTGGCTCCAGTCTCACCTGGTGGAACACAGTGCCTCCTCTGTCACACACACAGAAGCCGTGTACATGGGCCCCTCACCCCACCACTGAACAAGCCCACGCCTATCGGCCCCACGCCCTCCTTGCCTGATTACCTCAGGGAGTTCCCCTCTGTCCTCCCAGAGAAGACCAACTCGACACCTGTGCTTTGGGATCTTTCTCCTACAAACTCTCCATGTCTGGTCATTCTTTTGTTCTCTCATATTAAGAGTCGACCTCTTTCAAATGGATCCTTCCCTTCAGCCTGTAAACATGCAGATGTGTCTCTCAACTAAAACACGAAGTAAAACAAAACCCCGCCCTTGCCTGCCCATTCTATGTGTCCCCCTCACAGACAAACATCTGCACAGAACTGTCTGTAACCGTCTTCATTCTCCCCTTACCGTAACTTCTTGTTTCAGTATAATCTGGCTTCTCTTCCATTACTCACTAAAATGGCTCTTGTCAATGTCACCACATACCTCCGGGGTGAAAAGGACATTTCCAGTGTCAGCCAACTCAGCTTGCACAGGGCGTCCAGCGCAGCAGGATGCTATCCTCTCCTGCTCTCCCCCAACTTCTCTGGCCCCTCTGTTTAGTCTCCTTTTCAGGCTCATCCTCCTCTAACTGATCCTTTAAATCCAGCTCCAAAGCCTCCCCCAAAGCTCCTACGTCATTACTCAGGATATGGTCCCAGAGTGCCGTGGATTCTACCAGATTCAGGACTGAGCAGTCACAATTCCACCTCTGTGTGTCGCATCTGAACACTGTTGGAACTTGGAGTAGTTATTTGACAACTTCCTACTACACTGTAGTAGGAAATAAGGAAAAGGACAGGGATCTATCTGTCCTTCACTGTGTGTGCCTGCCACTCAAATATTTGTTCAGCGGGTAAATGGAAACAGCTCTGCCTCACAGGACAATGGTATTTAATTACACCAATCAGAGCCTCTCCTTCAAAAGCCTGAAAGGGAAGTACAGACAAATGCAGTCTATTGAACATATGAGGGGAAAACAGGAGGCGTAAAGAGAGGGCTGCAACTGAGCAAGTGGCTGTGCGACGCTGACGCAGAGCCCCAGGCAGAGCTCAGGGCCTCCTGCTGTGGGGGGCCATGGCCCCCAAACTGCAGGGTTGCCTGGGTTCCCAAGTAAGGGCTACCCCTGAGTTCTGGGAGGTTCCAGCCTCTCTCACTGGCATCTGTATTCTTGAAACAAATGCCGGTACTTGAGGTAGTTTGAGCGGCGTCACTTTCTTCTAGCTAACTAAGAATCTAAATAGTACAGGAGCTCCTCATGGGAGAAATATCACTGAAGAAGCAGTTTTTTGTGGATCAGCTGAAAAGCCCAAAGTAGAAGAAATGAAAACATAAGGCGCCTTACATAATTTCCCCTAAAGAGGTCAAGACCTCTTTTGAGGAGATTAGTTGTGTTCTGGAATGACTCCCAAGAACTGTGCCAAAGGCAGCAAACGTTCCTTTACAGAGATAAGGATTAGCGCTCGCAAAAGACCACCAGACTGTTGTTTCATAATTCCAGAGGCCATTAGCTGTGCACGCTGCATTTCTGACTTTGTAAAACAATTTATTTTTCTTTGCTTTCTAAAAAGTGTCGTATATGGAGAAATGTATCTATACATGTCAGGTAAACTAGTTAATTTTCTTTTCAAATTATAACTTAATTAAGGCTTTACAAGGCATTAAAAGTTAAATGTGAAATCTATGTTTACAGGATAATTTATGATGTCCAAACTTCGCCAGATCCCCAAAGGCAAAAAAATTCCAATGCCTCAGACCTATGACTAGATTATATTAAATTTAAGCCCAATAAATTAAACAGGAAAAAAAAAACTAGTACTTTTCAACTCTACACTGGGCAATACCAATTTCTTGACTAAATCTTTCTATGGTAGTTGGAGATAAAGAGCATAATCTTTGCTTTCTAGACAAAATGATGGCTGAGCTGACCCACAAGCATGACAAGGTTGCTGCCCCCATTTTAAGTGGAAGAGGACATGGCATTTTATGGATTGTGCAGCAGAAAGAAGCTCTTTCAAGATCTTCTCTATGTTAGATCTTTAGAGTTTTCATTAAATGATGACTATGAAAGCAAACAGTGTAAGAAAAAATCAACAAGCAGTAGATGACATCAGCCAACAGAGGACAGATTAGATAGTTTGGTTTTTCTTTGGGAGATTGTAGAGTGTGGAAAGAGCACGCTCTTTGGAGTGAGACAGACTTGGGTTTGAATAGTGTCTGCCAATTATCAGCCAACAATAGAAAGTTATTAACCTCTCTGGACCTGGTGTCCTCATTGACAAATGTGGGCTGATGATGAGATACTGAGAAAATTAAGTAAAACACATCATTTCTCTGTGGTGACTAATACATAACAGGCATTCAGTATTGCATTTGTTCATTGCAATGAATTATCTGGTGAATGTTTGCATAGTATAAAAATGAGGGTCAAAACACATTTCTATAAGAGTCTGCAATTTTTTTTTTTTTTTTGCTTTTCTGTTACTTCAAGTGAAGAACAGAAAGTAATGCATTTTGGTAAAGGACATAACATGAGCTGCAAAATTCCATGACTTCTTGGAGACAGACGTACTATGTGACCTTATCAAATAATGCAATAACTTTCTGTTAGTTCAGAAGGAGCTTTTGTCACAGAAAGGAGCAAGAGGACCAATCCCATGCACTGAAAATTATATTAAAACAACCCCCAAATCTAAACATCGATAAACAAAGCCCCCTCCAGAAAGGCATGAATGACTTCTGCATGGACAGAGCCCCTCCTGTGTCCTCCGCCCGGACCTGCTGTTTCTTGTGTGCCGAGAAGCACGGCTCACCAAAGCCCTCTCAGCAAAGCCCGGCATGCCCTGAGCACACCAGTGGGGCCACCTGCAGATTTCTTTCCTGGCCCAACACCCGTGGGTTTCATTGGCCAGATTTGTACTTAGGATTAAGAAGAGTGATGAGCCACTCTTCTTCCTACTCAAGATCAATGCAGGTTTGTAAAACTTGTAACAAATGCCTTTTATATCTAAGGGAAAAAGTACTGTCGAAAAGATTAACTAATATGAATATAACGAGTAAAGGCACAATTTTCTCATTTACAGTTATCGTCCCAGCCCATAATGGTTTTTCTCTTGTTTACTTGTTAAATGAGAAAAATAAAGGAGTGAGCGAAATGAACTAAGATTCCACTTAACAATTCATTGATTAGGGCAGGTGATTCAAGGAGAGGCATGTGCGTCTCTGGAATGGCAGAGACAACACTGCATAACAGTGTCTGGGGACTAAGAGGAATTCGTGGGGCCGCGGTGCAAAGACATTATGCATTAGGATTTGGACCACCTAGCTAATCGGAGTTGCCTGAGTTACATATCTAGAACGAAAGATAAGAGTTTGAATGGAGCACAGCAGCAGCAAAATGTCTGTATTTCACTTTGAGATTCAAATCAATGGACACAGTTTGCTGACTGAGGCATACAACAAAAGGGCTTTCTGTCCTGCTGGAAGCTTGATAAAAGAGCGCACACTACAAGCCCCACCGTAGAGAGAGATTTTGCTCCATTTGCCAACTGAACAAAGGTTTAAAAAAAAAAAAAAAAAGGCCAAGAGCCCTTCTGATGTGTTTGTAAGGAGTTCACTCACAGTGTGGTTCGTAAGGGGGCGGCGGGTCTCCACAAGGTACACATTCCATGTCTTGAAAACCAACAAGTTTTGTCTTCCTATAAAATCTAGAAGAGAAAGGAAAATAATCCTCATTACTTCTTTCATCTAAGCTCGCAGTTGTAGCCAACCGATTTATGTCATAAATTACTGGCAGTCTCTATTACCAGTTCTATTGTTTTTTTTATAAAAAAAGGTTCTCAAAGGCTTAAATGTAATAGTATCTTAGACAGACATCCTTAGAAAGCCTCCTGAACGTGCAGTGCACACTTAAGAAATACCAATTCCATGAAACATAACTTTGTAGATTCTACTCAGCCTCACTTTTTCTATATTGAGGTGGGGGTGCTTGTGAGGGAATAGGAAATCAATTTAAATGATAAAATGCCTTATAAATAAAGTGCTAGGTTTTAGTATTTGAAATTCAGAAACTGAAAAAGTCAAGCAAACCATAAAAGCAATGGAAAAATGTAGCAAGATATTTATACAATCTTGATAGGGCGACATCTTTCTAGGCATGACAAGAGACCCAGGGACTAGAATGGAAGAATAAACAGTTTTGAAAACACACACACACACACACACACACACACATACACACACACTATTAAAAGACACATGAAGAGCAAAAACAAATAAAGCATCATCAACATAGTTACTGGGAAAAAGAATATTGAAAAATAGTCCTAATAACAGTATTTTCTATAACTTAAGTCTACAACATTAAACTTAAAAATCATTATGGTGAAAGTGGAAAAACAGGCAAAGAACTGTAATTCCCAAAAGAATAAAATTTCATAATTTTTTTTTTTTTAAGATTTCACTGGGGAATTGGGGGAGGGGAACAGACAAGCTGCCATCCTTTTTTGTTCTTCAGTCTACTTGTGGAGGACATTGCTTCACTGGCCCACATTGGTACCATCATTGTGCTCTTCCTGGGCTAGGCAGTCGCTCGCTGGCCACTGAATGACTGCCCACGGTGGCCCACAGCAGCTCATGAAAGCTCACGCGCGCCACTGGCAACTCACGGCAGCCCAGCTCCAGGTTGAGCTGCCGTCCACCATCCCAGCTGCAGAGGGCGCAGTGTCACTGGTACCCATGCAGGATCCAAACCGGGACCCTGCTGCCCAGAGCTGGCGTCCCAAGCCAACTCCCAACCAACACACCACTCAGCCTGCCCTAAAATTTCATAATTTTTAATTTTCATAATTAAAACTAAAAAGAGTAATGCAATTCATTTTTAACTTAACACCAAAATATTTAACCTCATTACTAAATAAGTCAATATAAATTGCAATGACAATACACAACTTTTACTTAGAAAATTGAGAAAGTGTTGGTGTGAGCATAAGCAAATAGGTAAGTGTCTATATTGCCAGTGGGAATATAAATTGCCACTTGTCAGAGGGCAATTTAGCAATATGCCATCAGAGCTCAATAAAATAACTCACATCCTTTACCCAATAATTTCATTTTTTTGAAATGTATCCTAAAGAAATAATCAGGTGGGTGAAATTGTATGTGTAAGAATGCAACCATAGTATTGTTTATAAAAGAAAAAAAGCCAATTAGGCACAATCCCAATATCCTACAGTAGATATGACCAACTACGGTAGACCCAAGGCAAAAGAATACAAGGTGGTTTTTAAAAACAATGATACAGATCTATCACACATAATTTTTAACTCATGAAATATCATTAAGTGAAATAAGAAGTGTGAATAATATGATTAAATTTTGTACAAACATGTTTGTTATAGATTCTTACAGATCATTTGCCAATGCAGGTAAAAAAACATTTATGTGTATATATCTGCATTGAAAAAAATGGGAAGGATATCAAATGTTAACAGTGATTTATTTCTAGATGGTGAGAATTCAAGCAATTTTCTTTTATACAGAAAACTTCCCACTTTTCTAGGACAAAAATAGTGATAATGGAAAATAAATTTACAGATCAAGTCTATGGAGGACAGGTAGAATCAATTATTTTGTGAAGCTGGACAATGTAGTAACAAATCTGTATAAGTTATGACTGAAGCAAAATTTGCATTTGAAACCAGGTAAGTTATCTCAAATGGCCAATACCTTCTGTATTTGCTCAATATTCCATTTTTATTTGACTATGAAAATCTGTCCAAATGATTGTAATACGGTGACTTCCCACCAAATTTTAATTAAAGATATTTATTTTGGAATTTATAAAGTCAAAATCAAAGAACAAAGTTGGAGGGTTCACTCTTCTTGACATCAAAACATATTAAAAAGCTACAGTAATCAATGCAGCGTGGTACTGGCGTAAAGAGAGACTTGTAGGCCAATGGGACAGAAAAGAGCCTAGAAGTAAATCCTCATGTATGCGGTAAATGATCTTTGACAAGGGAATAGAGACCACATAATGGGGAACAGGACAGTCTCTTCCACAAATAGCGCAATGATGGTGCCAACTTGGGCCAGTGAAGCAACGTCCTCCACAACTAGACTGAAGAATAAAAAAAAACGACAGCAACTTGTCTGTTTCCCTTCCCCCAATTCCCCAGCGCTGTTCCCATCCCCCCAATTCCCCAATTTAAAAAAATCTAAAAAAAAAGATACAGGAGCAAATGTGTTTAAAAAAAAAAAGAATGAAGTTCAATCCTTATCTTACACCATATATAAAAATTAATTCAAAACAAATTAAAGACCTAAATGAAAGACCCAAAACTATAACATTCCTGGAAGAAAACATAGGAGAAAAGCCTCATGACATTAAATTTGGTAATAATTCTTTGGATACGACACCAAAAGGCAAACAAACAAAAGGCATATATGAAACAGGCAACAAAAGAAAAAATAGATAAGTTAGACTACATTGAACTTAAAAGTTATGCACCAAAGGATACAATCAATGTATACTTACACCCAAACTCATTGCACTGCATACATTAACTATGTATGCCTTTTGCATGTCAATCATACCTCAATGAAGTGGTTAAAAAAAAAGTCACACTAAAAAAAGTTTTAAATTATAATAAAATAATAATTCTTTCTAGGATTAAAAAAAAAGATACAATTGACAGTGAAAGGCCATCTGCAATATGGAAGAAAAATATTTGCAAATCATATTCTAAGCTGGATGAGCAGTTTTAAACATTCTGGAAGACCTGGGTAAAATTCCCTATATAATTATTGCCTGCCTCATGCATTCATGCTGGCTTAGAAAGGATGTAATTTTAAACTAATCATATAAATAAACTATGAAACATCATTCAAATGTCTACTCATTTCTAACTTTCCCACATCTAAGCATTTATTTAAAGAATGAGCAAACACAGTAGAAACTAAAACAGTTGGCTCAGATGACAACAAGGGAGGTTAAGCAGGGGGGAGCACATTTGGTGGGAGCTCCCGGGGAGATGTACCCTCTCTCACACTCTGGCAGCACACCCCCTGGGCTCCCTCTGGGTAAAACCAAGTCTCCATGTCCTGCGCTTCTCCCCATGCCCTCTGGGCGCTGCCCACCTCAGCCCCATCCCTCAAGTCAGGCGTAAGTTGGGCATTATTTCTTGTGGAACTCTTCTTCTCCCAGTTGAAGACAGCAGACATGCACAGACATGCTTTCAACAAAATTGTAGAACAGGAACAATAAAGATGTGTCAGATGTTCAGTGTGTGTTTCTCGAATAGATGTGTACAAGGTCAAAACTCTGGGTGATGATATTTGTAGGTATCAGTGTCTTCTGAGATTATAGACCAGGGGTCGGCAAACTTTTGAGATGGAAGAGCCAATCCTGTCCCTCACAATAATTCAAAAATTATTTGAGAGCCATAAAACAAATGAAATCACCATTATGTGAATAATATCCTTTAAAAATTTTATAAATGAAACTATGATAGTTTTATTTTCATTTTCAATTTTACTTCAGAGCCACATGTACGTACCCAAAGAGCCGCATGTGGCTCGCGAGCCGCAGTTTGCCATCCCCTGCTATAGACCATTATTATTTTTTTTATTAAATAACAGATTTATTGACATATAATTTGCAAACCATAGAATCCATCCATTTAAAGTATATAATTAAGTGGTCTTCAGGCTATACACAGAGTTGTGTAACCATCAACACAACCAATTTTAGAACATGTCATGCCAAAAAAGAAGCTCCGTACCCTTTGGCAGTCACGCTGCTCCCCGCATCCCCCAGTCCCATTCTTCCCAACCCTCCCAATCACCAGCCCTCGACAACACTATATTTACTTTCTGTCTCGATAAATGTGCCTATTCCAGACATTTCATACAATGGGATCATATAGTAGGTGGTGGTCTTTTGTGACGGGCTTCTTTCACTTCACACAATCTTTTCTAGCTTCATCCATTTTGTAGCACATATCAGTAACTCATTCCTTTTTATTGCTGAATACAATTCCAGTGTTTAAATACCCTCCATTTTGCTGGTCCATTCATCAGCTGATGAACATTTGGGTTGTTTCCACTTTTGACTACTATGAATAATGCTGCTATGCACATTTGCGTACAAGTTTTTGTATAGATGTGTTCTCAGTTCTCTTGGTTACATACTTAAGAGCAGAATTGCTGGGTCACATGGTAACTAACTCTATGTTTAACGTGTTGAGGAGTTGCCAGGCTGTTTTCCAAAGTGGCTGTGACATTCTACATTCCCTCTAACAGTGTATGAGGGTCCCAATTTCTCCACATCCTCAACAACACTTGCTATTGTCTGTCTTTTTGGTTATAGCCATCCTAATGGGTGTGAAGTACGCATATGTGGTTTTAATTTGCCTTTCCTTGATGGCTAATGACATTGAGCATTTTTTCATGTGTTTATTGACCATTTGTATATCTTCTGTGAAGAAATGTCTACTCAAATCCTTTGCCCATATTTTAATTGGGCTATTTGCCTTTTTATTATTGAGTTGTAGGAGTTCTTTATAATATATTCTAGGTAAGATAGTCCCTTATCCCATACATGATTTACAAATAGTTTCTCTAATTCCGTGAGTTGTCTTTTCATTCTCTGGAAGGTATCCTCTGAAGCACAAAAGATTTAAATTTTGATGAAGTCTGCTCCAGCTCTTTTTTCTTTGGTCGCTTGTGCTTTTGCTGTTAGACCACCGCTTCTTGCACCTGTTTCGGTGTTGAGGCATTGCATGAGGCCATGCTTGACCCACAGGCTATGTATGTCCCACTCTGCTTCTGTCCTCAGGCCCAGAGCTTTCTCTCCCGCTCTAGCTCAACCAGAGCCCTAGAATTAGCACTGTGCCATTTGCTCAAAAGCAACCTGATCTTGTGGGCATGTTCTGGCCGAGTCCGGTGAGTGTCCTTCCTTCACAGTGACTTAGGCTCCTGGATGTGGCCCCAGGCAAGTCCCACCACACACTGGCTCAGTGATCTTGCCTGAATAACCTTCAACCTGGACAAGGCACACCTTCATTTTTAAAACACTGTGAACATTACAGAACATAATTCACGTAAAAGGGCTTAGCCAAGTGCCTGGCACATTATACATAATAAATATTTGCTGCTACTGTAGTGCTGTTATTTCTGGTGGTTTTAGGTCAGCAACAAAGAAAGCCTGCTTTCCACAGCCCCAGGAATTCTGGCTCCTTGCTCTTCTCTTTTTGGTTGGTAACACAGGCTGCACTCTAAGCCCATGAAAGTATCCCGATACTCTGCCTGGTCGCCCTCCCATCTTACCTCGGGCAGTAATCCTCTCACTCCCTAACAGAGCATCATCACCCATGCCTCTTTGAATTCTGCTTTTCATACAGACTCTGTCCCCCCACATGCCTGGCTCATCTGGCATATTTGTCCAATGGTTACCTAGGAGGACTTAAAACTTTACAATTCCTCCTCTCTACCAGGCCAAGGTGAAGCCTCCTTTCTTTCCATGGTCTGGGTTTTCTTTTTTTTTTCTAAGATTTTATTGGGGAATTGGGGGAGGGGAACAGCATTGGGGAATTAGGCGAAGGGGAACAGACAAGTTGCTGTCCTTCTGTTCTTCAGTCTAGTTGTGGAGGACGTTGCTTCACTGGCCCATGTTGGTATTATCATTGCGCTCTTCCCGGGTGAGGCAGATCGGTCGCCGGTCTCTGGACGGCCGTTCACAGTGGCTCTTGGCAGCTCATGCCAGCTGCTGGGCTACTCACGCTGGCTGCCAGCCACTCATGGTAGCCCATGGCAACCCACTGCAACAGGGGCTGCAGCCTACGCTGCCGCCTTCGACTCACGGCAGCCCAGCTCCAGGTCAAGCTGTTGTTCACCATCTTAGCTGTAGAGGGCAGTGTCACTAGCCCCCATGTGGGATCCAAACTGGGGCCCTGCTGCTCAGAGCTGGTGTCCCAAGCCAGCTCTTAACCATCGTGCCACTCGGCTGGCCCTGGATTCATTTCCAATGTGCCCATTTAAGGTTCTCACCCTTCACACCTGTGCACTCTCTCCCACCCTCTCTTCTTCCGCTCTGCTCTTCCCTTCTCAGAAAGATACCCTGGCAGCTTCTTAAAAACACCAGGTTCATGTCCACCTGAGGGCCTGTCCCTAGCAGCTCCCTGCGTCCCAGTACGCTTCCCTGACATACCTGCTCGGCTACCTTCCTTATCTCCTTCAAGTCTTTGCTCAGACCTCCCCTTTTCAATATATTATGCCTACACCTTTCAATAATGCTGCCACCTGCCCATCCCCCTTAGCTGCCCCAGGTTTTTCTTTTTTCCATAGAAATCACCATCTCTTACCTTTCTGCATAATGCACTTCTTTAAGATTTACTGTTTGGGTTATTTTTTAAAAACATATTAGGATATAAGCTCCACCTGGGTAAGGGTCTTTGCCTCCTGACCTAAGCAATGCCTCGCTTTACCTAAAGCAATGCCTCGTGGCTGCTGGACAAACATCTGTTGAAAGGACTGAATGATTGTGATTTGCGCGTCCCTGATCCCCAGTGAGGACGAATATCTTCATATGATCACCCGGCCGTACGTGTTTCCTCTTCTGTGAATTGCCTGTTCGTTACTTTGTCCATTTGTCCATGTTGTCTTTTTTTATTAATTTACAGGAACTCTTTAAATTTTTGTGACCCCGATCCTTTGTTAGTATACTTTTTCCTTTTATTATAACCAGCGCCTGTCACCATGCATGGCACAGGCGCAGAGAATCTAGTGGTGACTGTCGAGATGCAAAGTCATGAACACTCAACAAATGTGTTCAGGTTAATATCAGTGTGCATACACGTTTGGAAGGGAACAACAGAAAGGCCTGTGTAAAGATAACTGAAGCATTACGAGGGAGAGAAACCGTCCAACGTACCCTGGCAGACAGTCCCCGCATACGGCATCACTGGTGACAGAGCAGTTCGCCTTCTGGAAGCGGTTCACCACCGCACAGTCCAGGCACGGCTTGCATTTCTGAAAGCCCCAGTCCTCCTTGAACCTGTGAGGCCGGCATGTCACACACTGAGCATCCTCCCCGTAGCCAAAGCCACATTCCTGCGGGGATTAACAGGCAATAGAAAGCTATTCAGATGTGGCAAGCATGAAAAAGGAAAGACGCAGGATAAAAGGAAGACCAGGTCTAGTAATTACTGAGGGCTGGCCTTCCTAGAGACAAAGGCAGCTCTCTCAGCAAGTTCAAATGAGCCTCCCACTGCTAATAATCTCTCTTACGAGGAGAAGTATATTTAGTCATCCACTTTATTCAAGAAGCCACGAGCATTTGGATAAGAAAGGTTCTCCAGGACCCCCCACTGCTGCATTATTGCAGTTTAGGGCAGAATTATGGCACTTTCTTCTTTTTCTATTATAATTAAGCAAGTCTTGTGAATGTTCAGAAACGAAAGTCAGGGAGACATTCTGACACGTATTCACTTATCAAGGCAGAAAATAAGTACTTTGATATCAACTGTGGTATTTTAGAAAATGAGGATAACTCGAAAGAAATTTCCTAAGCTTACAAACCCAGAAGTCTCTCCAGTTAGAGAGCACCTCAAATGCTTAGCCGTTTGATGGTGTCCAATAATAGGAAGATTCTTACATATTTTTTATTTTTTATTGGGGAACAGTGTTTTTTCCAGGACCCATCAGTTCCAAGTCAAGTAATTGTTTCAATCTGGTTGTGGAGGGTGCATCTCAGTGGCCCATGTGGGGATCGAACTGGCAACCTTGGTGTTATGTGCACTGCGCTCTAACCAGCTGCCCCATTCTTACATATTTCTTAAAAGAACACTACGATCTTGTTCGGATAAAACTGTGTGGTACTAAAGGTCTTCAGTTTCTCTGAATTTGGGTGTCAGGATTGTTTTCCAAGGATGGGCAAGACCAATGGCTCTTTGACCCACATTATGGTCCTTTCCACAAGTTCAGGAACTAAATGAATTATAGCAGATCACATAATGTAATTATAATACAACCATAAAAAGACTGATGCAGATTATGTGTTCATGATAGGTTAAAAAGTTACAATACAGAATCAGAAGTATGATCCCATTTCTTACAAAACATTAATAATGAGTACTATCATGTATTGGGTGCTTACTCTATGCCAGGAACTTTATACACATTATCTCATTAATTCACACTCATTCCCAATGAGAACAGCACTATCATTATTTCCAATTCACGAATGGAAGTATGGAGCTTCCCAACAGGTATGTACCTTAACCAAGGTGACAACTCTAATGTTGGGACCAGGATTGAAACCTACACAGCTTAATTCCAGACGCAGACTTCATACCACTACACTGTATGGTCTGTCAGGTACTTTATCTGACATGTCCACAGGAAGATGTTTCAAAGATTGCATATCAAATATTAATGCTGGTTATCCATACTTGGTGATGGTCTCTATAGAACACTGGCCATTTATAAAAAAAAAAAAAAAAAAAAAAAAGCAGACAGCAGCTTAAGAGCTGCAAGAAGAGCATGTGTGCAGAGAAGTGTGTGGAGTAAGCCCACCAACACTGCTGGATGCAGAGAGGGAGAAAGGGCTCCGACCACACCCCCTCCCGGCTTCACCTCCCTCTCGGCCCCTTCTCCCCCCAGCCCCCACCCCAGAGCCTCAGCCTCCTTATCTGTAAACTACAGAGGCCAGAATGCAAATCCCAGCCAGTTCAAAATTCCCACTTTCCTATACATTTTTTATATTTTAATTTCTTCATTCATATTTATATTCACAGTCACCTAAGCAATACTTACTGGCCCAAAAATCAAATGAAAACCAACACAAAGGACAGTCTTCTGTGTACTTAATAAACTACTCTATAATGAATACTAGCAAGAACACTTCCATCTAGACTGTTTTACTAATGAACTCAATCACATTTTGAAGGAGCAACACCTTCCTTCCTCCTTTTACTTACTCTGCCTGCCTTTCACCTTGAACATGCACAACAAAGAGTAAGGGAGAGAAGACAGCAGTAGGCTAACAGTCTTCTTAATCCTGAATGCTCCAGCCAGACCTGTGCTCCAAGCCAAAGGAAGAAGGAAACAGCCCAACAGTGTGATCTGGAGAACTAATGCACAAATTAGAATTTCTTTAAAATTGTTAATGGGGATGACTGGTGGGGAGGAGAATGAGTGGAATTAGGAGGTAGTCTCATTTCTTATAATTCTGCAATTATTTATTTATTTTTGCAAAAAGCAACTACTCTAGTAATCAGGGGAAAAAAATGAAGATACATATTCACGAAGAATTTCTTGGGACGTGTACTAGGTCTTTGCGAGGAGGCCATTGCTGTTTTTGTGTGTGCTCTGTCCACAGGCCATGTGGCTCTGCGTGGGGACAGAAGTGTGTCTGTGCTGAGCACTTTCACTGTTGACAGAGCCGAGTGCATCCAAAGGCTTTATGTATAGAAGGGGGCCTCCCACTCAGTCTCCCAGGATCAAGGCATGCACGTGACACTCGGGCAGCTGGGACCTCGCTGTTCACAGGCTCAGCATCTCCACGTCAACGGCTTACGCAAGGGCAGTGTCTCTGAATCATGCTTTGATCCAGGCAGCTTGAGCTGGAAGGGTCCCATGTACAAGTTAAAACACAACAAATAACGGGGAAAAGAAGAGAGTAGAAGAAGGAAAAAATAAAGGGAAAGAGAAAAGAGAAAGAGATGGAAGAGATGTATTAAGTGGGAGTAAATGTCTGAAATTTTGTTTTTCAAGCCAGGTTGATAGAAGAGAAAAAGTGTGTATTTTTGCACATTGGAGCCAAAGACACATGAGTTTGAACGCCAATTCTGCCACTTGTCAGCTAAGTATTAAGTCATTTTGGGAACTCTCAAATCCTCAGTCTCTTCATCTGTGAGATGGTATTAATAACGCCTGCTCTACAGGGTTGGAAAAAATAAAGTCTCTACACTGTAAATCAAGCACAGGGTAGGCATTCCTTAAATAAATGATACCTATGACTATTATTATTTTGGGTTTTCTACAACCCAATAAACCAATTCTCCTGATTTAAGTGTAATCACTGGGGACAGGGAATCTTCAGACCCCAGTTTTTTTCTATGTTACTTGAAACATCACTTTCCATCTAAACCATTTTTACTGAACAAAAGTTTTTCAAAAGAGTCGCAATTACCTGCCCTCTAAAGACAGGTACATAACATGTAAGTGAACCTCGCCTGGTTGAACCAACTGTGGCATGGTGCTGTAATACCAAAAACTAAGGGCCTGTGGGCAGTTCTACTATTTTAACACCAGGCAGTCAACAGTCACTCTTTGCTCCTGCTGAATTATCACTGTCACCAACATTCACTTCCTCTCTCCATTCTTGAGAAACTAAATTAAATAATCCAAATAGAAATGAACTTGAGAGATATATAAATGGGTGTTTGGATGGTCTCATCTCTTTTGAAAAAGTTCATAGACGTTAGTGCTGGGGGACCTCTGTGCTTACTTTTTGACTCCTGACTGTATTGTAGAGTCTACATTGTACACAGGACCTTTCTGATCAATATGTTTTTGCCACAGATCATTTTGTGTCATTTACACGTCATCATATTTCTTAGGATAAGGTTTCATGAAAAAAAAAATTTGGTCCATTCTGCACTGGCTCAAATCATGTATAGAAGGATCCAAATGCATCACATTCTGCCTTCATTATCTGGATATTAACTTACTATTTCTGCTTAGAATGTAGGTTTTGGTGACAACAATAGTAATCTTTGTGGTAGATTTAGGTGAGGGGTTGAATAAGGCTCTATATTCATTACTACCACAAAACAATGCCAAAATGTATTGAGCATGTAGTTTGAACGACATATAGTCTCCTGCATTCACAATAGTCTAAGAAATTTATGAAATAACCATTCTATCTGTTAAATTAAGTAGCAACCTTAAATTAACTAGAAATTCAGAGACGTTATTTTCAAGAAATTAAATTACAGTCGAGTGTCCATGGCAGCCATTACTTTTACTTTTAGAACTGATTGTCCTGTTTCTAAGCACTAGAAACATAGAGATGCTGTAATTATTTGAAATTCAGGCTATAAATTAAACAGCATGTATGTATTTTTGATATGGAGTTAAGAATCCATGGATTTAGAGGGCCAGCTAGCTCTACATGGATTTTTGACTGCACAGGGTCGGCACCCCAATCCCTGCATTGTTCCAGGGTCACCTGTAAATATTAAATTACCCCCAATATAAATGTCTACTTTGATGTTTTATTTCATTCAGTAAAACCAGGTGGTTAAAATGCCTTGAAATCTTCCCCATTAAGTTCAATAGATAACTACAAACAGAAGAAAGGAGACTAGAGACCATTTTGCTTCCCTTTTCTCTTTATCACCTTTTATAGTGAAAAACTACTACAACACACAAGATTTTTTTACAAATCAAAAAATACACCTTCCTTCCCATCTCTAGTCTCTGACTTTCTACTCCCTGTACACAGGCAAACACTGCTGTCAGATTTTGAGGTAATCTGCCAGAAATATCCTCCATGTGTGCGTGTGCGTGTGCATGTGCGTGTGCGTGTGTGTGTGTGTGTGTGTGTGTAACTGTTCTGCAACTAGTTTTTTGTGGTCCCCACTCAACTCATCTTGGAGAGTCCCTCATATCAGCATGTGGAGACAGTTTCCTCCATATGGCCGTAGCTTCATTGACGGCAGGAGCTGTCCTTACTCATCACCGTGTACCAAGAGTTGGGCTACGTGTCTGGTGAATGGCATCAGCATGGATTGCCGATCTAAACTGCATCTAATGAAAACAGTATCAAATCTTTTGGGTGTTTTCTCTCATTATTTTTGAATAGAAAGGGGGCAATTTCCTTAGGCGTATTATTTCTCATGACCGGCTAGTATACTACACGGGAATAGAAGAAAAGATAGGAATGGGTTTTGGGTGAAATAAAACAGATTACTGAAAGGAGAGAATAGGCTGGCAATGCTGGTTCAGGCTTGGCCTTTTGACCGACTCTCTCCTTGACCAAACTATACAGGCTCCTCCAAGCCCAGTTGTCAAAAAACCCTGTCAAATCAGTTTAGCCAGAATCC